CCCTCCCTCTCTGAAATCCCCTCTCCCCCCGATGCTTTCTAACCCTTACAGAATATTTAACCAGCTGCTCAGTTATTCATCCCTCGCAGGTTCGCTGTGCTCGGGGCCCTCCTGGAGGATTAACGAGAGCCATAAATCAAAGGGACTTTGGAGGAATTTCCCATTCCCGGCTGGGCCCCCCAATGCCCCTGGCAGGGAGGGAACGGGCGCTGCCACTCGCTGCCGCTCCTGTTTAGGACCTTGTTAAATACAAAAGTTAAACAGACCGCAGGAAAGGGATGAGGCAGCAATCGCCGGCTGAGGGGGGAACTGGGAGGCTGCCACCTCCTGATGCTCCTTTTGAAGGTGTTGTTTGCAAACACCGCCATCAATCCGGCTCGGGAGGAGGAGGAGCCGAGGCTGCGGTGCCCGGGGATGGGACAGTGGCACTGCCCGCTTGGGTCAGGGGGTGGCAGAGGGGACAGGGGTGCCCCAGGGGCTCCTGGCAAGCAGCAGTAAAGGGCCGGTGGGTTTTGCCTGTTGTCCTTCAGATAAGAGTGGGATGGGGATGGAGCGAGGTCTCTGCATCCCACTGGGATGCTCGGGCTGGCCCTGCACTACTCGGGGGTGTCCTGGCCAAGGGACAGTGACAAATCCTGTCCTGGGTGTCCTGAGAGCCCCAGGCAAGGATCTGGATGAGAAGAAGCCCAGGGAGGAGGAATCCAGCACAGATCCCAGCTCTGACAGCTTTTCCTCCACCACCAAACCCTTCTGCTCCCCCTGCAGAGATTTTAGCAGGGTTTCTCTTTATCCCCACCCTTCAGGAAGCCCCAGGCTCACCTCGAGGGGCTCAGAGGTCTCTGGGACAAGCTCTGGGAATGATGAGACCCCTCCTCCCCCTGGGACCAGCACAGGGAGTCCACAGAGGGACCAGGCACACCCCAGCTCCCTTTTGGCAATAAATGAATTAATTCATCTCTCCGTGGATGATGTGAAGCTGCAGCCAGACCCCCGAGGTGGGAGCTTCACCCCTCCCATGCTGCTGCCAGCCTGCCTGAGCCCTGCTGCTGGTTGCCCACAGAAATGTGAATTTTGGTTTATCACGTCTGCCTGGCGGGCAGCAGGAGCTGCACAGCGAGCCGGGGGAAAGCACAAGGTAATAGAGGTATTTATTAAAGCAGGGAGGAAATTTATATGCTATTCCTGCTTTTTCAGCTCTCAGTCATCGCCGAGGGGAGAGGAGGAGTGGGCAGCCAGTGTAGGAAATCACCAGGAGTCTGTTTTCTGCCCATTTGTCAGTCTGATGAACAAGAAAAATACGGGCAGGCTGGGTGAAGGAGAAATGGAGAGTGAGGAGCACAATCCTGCACGGCCAGGAGCAGCCCCAGGTGCTTGGGGAGCCTCCCTGGGTCCCTCTGGAGCTGAGGATTTGTGTCCCCGAGCGTTTGGGGTCCCTGAGGGTCCCTGGGTGGGGATGGGGAGGTGGGAGAGGGGTGTGGGGAGGAGAAAAGGGCTCTGGAGGGGATGGGCTGGGGGAAAAAGGGGGTTCAGGATGGGATGGAGGAGAAAAGGGGTTCTGATAAGGACAGGATGGAGGAGAAAAGGGGCTCAGGATGGAACAAGCTGGAGGAGAAAAGGGTTTCTGGAAGGGAAGGTCTGGAGGAGCAAAGGGATTCTGGAGAGGATGGGATGGAGGAAAAAAGGGTTCTGGAAAGGACAGGCTGGAAGAGAAAAGTGGTTTGGGATGGGATGGGATGGGATGGGATGGAGGAGAAAAGGGATTCTGGAGGGGTCAGGCTGGAGAAGGAAAGGGGGTTCTGGAGAGGATGGGATGGAGGAAAAAAGGGTTCTGGAAAGGCCAGGCTAGAAGAGAAAAGGGGCTTGGGATGGGATGGGATGGGAGAGAAAAGGGCTGTGGAAGGGAAAGTCTGGAGGATAAAAGGGATTCTGGAGAGGATGAATCAGAGGAGAAAAGGGCTGTGGAAGGGACAGGCTGGAGGAGAAAAGGGGCTCTGGATGGAGCAAGCTGGAGGAGAAATGGGGTTCTGGAAGGGAAAGTCTGGAGGATAAAAGGGATTCTGGAGAGGATGAATCAGAGGAGAAAAGGGCTGTGGAAGGGACAGGCTGCAGGAGATGAGGGGTTCTGGTGGGGCTGGGCTGGAGCAGGGCTCTGGCAGTGGGGTGAGGTGGATCCCAGTGTCCAAAGCCATCACCCCAATCCCTGCAGCCCCCCTGGCAGGGCCCCCCCAGCTGCAGGAGCACTGGAGCGTTTGGCATCTCCTGGAGAGGAGCACGGGGAGTGCAAAACCCACCGAGTATTAAGTGCTAATAATTCCCTCCTTTCATTTGCAGTTATCCACCTACATGTGAGAGGCTGGGATTTTGCTGACACTTTCTGGCTGGGAATTGAATGCTGCCTGAATCATCCAGCCAGGGCTATTTGTTCATAAAAGTAAGGAATTGCTGTTTGAATCCTTTCATTGCTGCTAACGTGACACAGGCAGCCCTGATGGATTCGGGCTGGGGATGTGACACAAACGTGGCCCTGCTGGGAAGTGACACAAATGTGGGGACTCCTGAACCCTCCTGGGTGGGAGGCAAACACTGCCTGGGTCTCCCTGGGCTGCTGGGCTGTGCAAGGTCCCCCTGGCATTGTCAGGGGCAATCCTGGCTTCTGCCAAGCTCTAATTCCAGCAGTTTTCCCCTTAAGGAGCAGCTTTCCCCCTGGTAGCAGGGTCTGGGCACCCCAGAGAGGGATTTGGCACCTCCAGTGCTGTGTGTGATGGCACAGAGGGAAGGGGGGAGTGTTTGAGGGTTTTAATCTTCTTGTTCCTCGTGGCTGGACAAGGAGATGTTTTTCCTTTGGCAGAGACAAACGAGCAGAGCCAGACCCTCTGGCATGAAGCTGCTCCTTCTGCAGTGATGGGATAAAAATGTCCTGGGAGAAATCCAGGCAGTGCCATTGGAGAGATCAGCCCTGGGCAGGGGGAATGTTTTTGGGAACAGCACTGGGCCAGCACCCTGGTTTGTCCCTTTTTTTTGGGTTCTGTCTGTGCCCAGGGCTGTGGGGCAAAGACCACAAAACCTCACTGAGATTTCCCCCTCATCCCCGTGGATGCTCCAAATCAGGATGTTATAAACTCCAAGCTGCTTTCCCCCGAGTGCTGCTTGCACAAATGAGAACTGATTTAAAATGAATTGGGCCAATTACTGCAGTTTTCCTAAACCAGCTGACAGCAGTGCTGGGATGAGGAGGAGCAGTCCCAGCTGCAGAAGGATGGGAGTCAGACACTGAGATGCCCTTTGGGCCTGAGATTCCAGCTGTCTCCGTTCCCTGGATGAGTCTGGTGGCTTTCCTCAGTTTGTATCTGAATTTGGGTGGCAGCAGTGCCAGGCCAGCAGCACTGGAGCAGCTGGTGGTGCCTGCTCTGAGTGGGTGATGCCAGGATGGTCCCTGCTGGTTGCAAATGCAGTGCCTGGATAAACCCATGGATTTATGGAAAAGTGGAAGGAAAGAACTCCTGGGTGCTTTTTTCAAGAGGAACCTTTGAATGAGATGCTTTCTGTCATGGAAGGGTTGGGTCTGTTGGGCTGGGTGAGGTTTGGGTTTTTGGTTGTCTGGTGGCTGCTCCTCCCCTGCTCCCATGGTTTGAATAAATCACTTCTGAGCTTGGTTTGGGGCTTTGTAGGGAAAGAAAAAAGGCTCCTGGGATGGGCAGAGTGGCCATGAATCATCCAGCACAGCAGGAGTGGGGTGGGAGCTGCTCCAGGGCAATCCTGGCCAGGAGCCCCAGGTTTGGGTGGGTGCAGAGACAGGAGGGTGCCTGACAGGAGAGAGGGGCTGGGGCTGCATCCTTCCCCTCCCAGGCCTGGTGTTTGGGGGCAAAAATTCTTCCTATCCCTGCCAGGGATGAGCCTGGGGCTTCCTGCTGGTTTTGGTGGCTTTGGACCCAAAAAGGAGGAAAAACACCGGAGAGAGGAGGTGTGAGCTGAGCAGGGAGGGGAGGAGGGTGAGGTTCTGGCATTGGGATCGCTCTCCTGAATGAATTCACTGACACAGGGAACAATTTTCCCCTGATTCTTCCAATTCTGTCACAACACTGCCTGGAAGGGCCCCACAGGAAGGAGAACTTGAACTCTGCAAGGAGCTCTCGGCTGAAGCTTTATTTAAGGCTACACGGGGAAATCTTAAAGTACAAAACTCCTGGCTGGGCAGCGAGGGCTGTGCCCTGTGTGTCAATTTTTGCCTCTAAACACCTTTGGCGCTCCAGCTAATGGGGCTGCCACCTTGTGGGGATGGTGTCCCCCACAGATCCCCCTTCCCATGGCTTTTGGGACACCTGCAGGTTTGTGTCTTGTGTTCCCCCAGGTGGCCACCAGCATCTTGTCCCCACAGCCCAAGAGAAAGGACAAGGACTGAGCATCTGTGTTTTTCTCTGTGCTGCTTCTGTTTATTTCTTAATTTTTTAAACCCCTACTCCTTGACTGCAGACGTCCTTGTGCTGACATGAGATTATTTATTTATAAAATATGTACAGGAAAGAGCTCGGGTCCCGGCCCCACCCTCCAAGGTTGGCCATGCCTGTCCAGCCAGAGCAGAGGTGGAAGGGGAATTTCTCTGCTTTGGAGTGGGCAACAGGAGGAGAAAGGAAAGGGCTGAGAGGGATAGAGATTTCAAAGGACATAAGCAAATATTTACAGGTTCCAAGACAAAAAAATGTATCTACAGTGCTGTCTTGGGGATAGAGGGAGCTGGGCTGGAGGCAGAGCCCGCTCGTGGCTCCGTTTGTTATAGTGATTTATAGAGGCTGCAGGAATCGATTCCTCTGGGAATCCCGGTGGGAGCGTGGCTCAGAGAGCCCCAGGCTCAGGCCATGGCGAGGGGCAGCTGGGCCACCCCAGCCACAGGGCCCTGCTCCTGGGGCTTTGCCAGAATGGTTAGATTTTTGCAAATGAGGCCTGGGTGCTCCTGTGATGCTCCTGGAGCCCAGGGAAGGGCAATGCTGCTGGGGAGCAGGATTCAGGTAGGAAAAGGTTTGGGGTCCCCACCAACCACTGCTGTTCAAACTTGATGGGGACAGGTAGGGACAGTCCCCCAGAGGTGACGTGTTCCTGGGAGCACCTCGGAGTGGGAGCGCTCTGGCAGAGCTCAGATGTGTGGGGTGGGGTCTGCACTGCTATGGCAGGACAGGACGGGCACAGCCAAATTCCCCTGCAGGGGAGGGGGCCGGGGCACGAGGGAATGGCTGGGGGGCGTCTGTCGGGGTCCCCGAGCTCGGCAGGTCACCCCAGTTCAAACTGTCCATGCTCTATGCAGGTGATACTTGGCTGGAGGAGACGGAGGAGACCTCGGTCTTGCTCTGGGATACGGTGGAGGAGGTCTCTTCATCCCCAAAGGGGTTCTTGCCGCAGCAGATTGTGGTGATCATGCAGTTACGGAACTGGGGAGGGGAGAGAAAGGACAATGGTGGCACTGGGGGCAAGGAGGGACGTGCCACAGGACCAGGATGGACTGAGATCCTGCTGGGAAGGAGCAACGTGCCCGTGGAGCCCCCAGATGTGGGTGTCTCACCTGTTTGTTCATGAGCACGTAGATGATGGGGTTGTAGAGGGAGGAGCTCTTGGAGAAGAAGGCAGGCACTGCCATCAGCGTGGCCGTGAAGTCGGCGCCCTTGTTGGTGAAGATCCAGAACGCCACCACGGCGTAGGGCGTCCAGGCCAGCATGAAGCCCAGCACCATCAGGATCACCATCCGCGTCACCTCCTTCTCCGCCTTCTGGGTCGTGGCCGATTCCTGCTGCTGGGCAGCTGCCTGTGCACACAGAGGGTGGTGAGGGGCAGCTCTGCGCCCCAACCCGCATCCCCCAATCCTGCCTGAGCCACCCCTCTGTCCCCTCAGTCCCCTCCAGCCGTTACCTCGCGGACTTTGCAAACGAGGCGCCCGTAGGAGAAGAAGATGATGACGACGGGGATGATGAAGTGGATGACGAACATGTAGAGCACGTAGGACTCGTTGTGGAAGTCGGGGTTGTGGGTGTAGTAGTCGGGCCCACAGGAGCACTGCATCCCCTCCGGGATGTACCTGGCAGGGACAAAGGTGGGAATCTGCTCCAGGACCCTCCCTGGGGGCAACAGGGATGGAATTCCCTGAGGATGGGGGATGCTGGGAGGGTGGTACAGGTGGTTTGGGTGCTCGCAGTGTCAGCTTGCTGTGACACTCCCTCCCATGGGAACGGGACATTCATTTCCCTCCTCCAAGGCCAAGCACTTCCCTGCTGGAGCCACTTGCTCTACCTGCAGGGATCCAGGAGCTGCTGGGGATCCTGGGGCTCACCTGGACCAGCCGAAGAGCGGCGGGGCGGCGCAGGAAATGGCCATGACCCAGGTGAAGGCGATGCCCATCATGGCGTGGCTGGCCGAGAAGCGGAAGTTGCCCATGGGCTTGCAGATGACGATGTAGCGCTCGATGGCCAGGACAACCAGCGACCACAGGGCGACCTGGCCTGCAGGGAGGAGAGGGAGAGCCCATGGAGTGGTCAGAGCCCCTCTGGGCTCCACCTTCCCTTGGTGCTTCCAGAGGAGAGCAGGGGAACTGGGGATCAGCATGGGATAAGCAGCATCCTGCTAGGAAATTGGGAATCCTCCACCCATAACGTGCAGAGGGTATGCTGGGGGCGGAGGGGTTTTAATAAATTAAGAACCAAGGGAGTGAATCCCACCTGGGCGTGGGGAAGCACAGTTCCTGGCAGTGCTGCCAGATGCCTCCAAACCTGTTGATTCCTTTAAATTGTGCATTTCACGAGCCTTCTGCTGGCGCTGGATCGGGGGAGGCGCGGGGAGGGGGGGACTGTGTGGGTGGGAAACGTGCACATGTATTTATGAGGGATAATTAAACTTCAGGGGATTTGGGAGCGTTTAGTCGGTGCTGTAAGCCTGCTAATGCCCCCAGCTGTGATAAGCTGCTGATAACGACACCCTGTGCTGGGATTCGCTGGGGACCTGCTGCTCGCACAGCCCGCTGCTTCCCAGCCAGCTTCCTTCCCTGGGAACAGGAGCCTCCTCCTCCTCCTCTCAGAGTTACAAACATTGGAAAAGCAAAATAATGCTGCCCAAGGCTCACTGAGCAGGGATGGAGCAGACTTTGGGATCTTCTGACCCCAAAACCAAGCCTTTCCTTGCTCCTTGCCTTGGATCAGGACATTCAGCTGTGCCTTTGGCAGAATATCCGTGTTTTTAAAATGTGTACTTCCAGAGCAGCATCATTGTAGGAAATGGCACCATTTAGGGGAAGGAAAGCAAAGTCCCTGTGGTGGCTCTGGGTCTCTCCAGCAAGGACTGGTGGCTGTCAGATCCATCACGAGGTGTGGCGTGGGCAGGGCTGGCTGCGTGGGCTCGGCTGCCGAGTGAATTCTCCCTGTTTTTCTGCAGGGCCAAGTGTTGGCAGCACTCGTGTGTGTCCCTGAGAAACGCCTCAAGGAAAATCCCAAGGGCACTCAAATCTGGTGCAGCTGGGACAGAGCTGAGCCATCCTTGAGGAGCCTGGGAACAGCCCTGGATCCTCCTCACCTTCCTTTTGCCCCTGGATAAGCTGTGAGCCCTCTCATCTCTCCACAGCTCTAGCTCTTCTGTGGGGTTCCCTTCCTGAGGGATTTCTCTTCCCCTTATAAACCCTCCATTTCCCCAAAAAGGGAAGCCTTTGGGTTAAGGAATGATCATGAAATCGTGAAGGTTGGGAAAAGACCTCAAGTCCAAGCCTGTTGTTGGTCTGAGCTGCTTGGCGTTGATTTGGAACACGCTGTGGTCATCCCTGGCAGGTCTCTGGTAACCACCTTGTGACCAGCAGGGCCAGGTGACCCCAGGCTGGATCCTACACACAAGGATCCCTTCCCAGGCTTCCTTTCCCTGCCCCATGCCATGGAGGCTCCTTGCTATCAAGGTCAAACACACAGAAATCTCTTTTCCTCCCCCATTTTAAGCGCAGGGTTCACCCCACACATGGAGGAACAACTCTGCACATCCCAACAGTGCCACGAAGGGATGGAACCAGACTCCCAAAGCTGTGGAGAAGGAACCCCCAAGCCCCCATGCCCATCCCTTACCTCCCAGCGTGGCAAAGAATCCCTCCACGGCACAGCCAATGGGGCCGAACACGAAGTAGCCGTTCCAGGCGGTGTAGAAGGTGACGGTGAAACCAAAGCAGGCCATGCACAGGTCAGCCACCGCCAGGTTGACCAGGATGTAGTTGAGGGGCTGCCGAAGCTTCTTGTGCTTGAAGGTGACCAGGAGGGTGAGGAAGTTGATGGGGAAGCCGGTGGAGATGAGGAAGAAGATGTAGCAGCACACGAGGCGGTATTTCCAGGGCTCGGCCAGGTAGTACTGCGGGTACTCGAAGGGGCTCCGCACCACCCCGGTCTTGTTGGACATAGGCACGTAAAAATTGATCCCCTCCGTCCCGTTCATGCTGCCCTGGCTACGGAGGGATTTTCTGCAATGAATTGAGTTCCGACCCTGATTAATTAAAAAAGGGAAGCCCCACCCCCTTGAGAGGGTTCCCCTCCAACCCAAAAATGAATGAATTACGAGGAGCAGCAGAAGGTGAGGGGATGGAGCCCTGCCCTGTGCTGCGCCGGGGGCTGGCGGTGCCGCGCCCCAGGGTGGTTTTATACCCTCCGGGAGGGGGAGGCTGACGAGGGGCTCGGCTAACTTTGTATGACAAGGGCAACGGGATTGAGAGGGGCTGATGGTTTAAGCACCCTCTAAGCAGCCAGTTGGCCCCAAAACCTGCATTAAAGCGTATTAATTGCCATTAAGTGTTTAATGTTGTTTAAGGTGTTGGGGGCAGGAAGGGATGGGGTGGGGAGCGCTTGGGAAGAGGGGCAAAGGTGGGAGGAGCAGTGGGGAGTTTGGGAGGGGCCGATGTGAAAGTGGGCTGTTCTGGGGTCTACAGTGTGTCACAGGTTTGGGGTGTCCCTAGGCGGCTGAAGGACCCTGTGAGACCACCTGGGGACTGGGGAGTGGCCAGCTCTGCCCCACTGACCTTGGGCAGGTCACTGGGGGAAGACTGGACTGAGCTTTGTGGGTCTGAGCTGTTGGCTGGGCTCTGTTTCAGGTGCTTGGCTCAGTGTGGGGACTGCTGGGGTCTGCATCCCAAATCCAGGCTCTGCTGACACAGCCAAGGGCCTGGAGTTGGGCAAAGGTAGGAGGGGAAGCCACTTCCCATCCCAAAGGTAATGCAGCTGGTAATTTTTTGGTAAAGGTAGCATTTTGGGGCAGAGCTCTTGGTTGTGTGACCCTGATCACACCCCTGGCTGAGCCACGGGGCAAAGGAGAGCAAAGATGTCCTGAACTCTTTGCAGAGAGACCAGCACAGCCTGGGAGAGCCGGAGGGATGGAAGGGAACTTCTCCCAGGCTCCCAGCATGGAGTGTGGGATCCCCAGGGCCAGTGCCAATGCTCCATCTCATCCAAGTTCTTCCCCAGTTCTCCCTTCTGGGTCATGGGGGCTCCTTCTCCAGGGGAGCTGCCTTAAGGCGCCTTAGGGCAGCTCTTCCCTTAATCCTGGGGATGTGGGGGGTTAAGGGAGCTGATCGGATAACGAGGTAAGCTGGGCCTCCTCCTCAAGGCACAGCCCATGGAAAAAGTCATGGATGAATGAGGGCTCCTGCACGCCTGGAGCTGGAGCGGAAGGCTAAGGGGGTGTTGGCATGGATGGTGTCCTAATTCCTGACCCAGTGGGTGCAGAAGTAGGACGTGGTGCAGGGAAGTGGGTCAGGCCAGCCTCAGGTGCCCTGGGATGAGGGTTCCTCACGGGATGGAGGTGCCTCTTGGAATCGTCGCACTGTGAAACCACCAGGCACCAAATTCCTGCTCCAGGTCTTCTTAGAGGGGATGAGGGGAAAGTGCAGGAGTCCCATGGCCCTGCTTCCCACAAAGCTTTCCCTGGAGGAATTTCCTGCCTCTCCTGGCCATAGTCAAGCTCAAAAAATTTGTACAAAAATTTGGCACGTTGTTGCAGAATGAGTTGAATATCAAAGGAGGTCCCAGAAATTCTAATTCACAAAACCAGCTGTGCATCCATCCCAATTCCAGTGTGCACTTCCCAGCTCCCATGGGAAAAAGCAACTCCCTCCAGCTCCAATATTTCACTGTGGTGGCCCACCTTCAAAAGAGAAAGCAAATCCTCAGCTCCAAGATTTCGCTTCAAAAACAATTGGACCTCACTGCCAGTGCCAGCAGCATCCCAAAGTTCTGGTTCTTCTCAAAGGTTTTGCATCTGGACATGGGTGCCCCATGGGAAAGTTAATTGTCACCTCCCATCCCTTCCTAGCACCACTTTGGGGTGTCCTGCCCTCTTCTAAAGTCAAGAGTGGTGCAAAGGAAGCTGTGGGGGAACAGGGACACCGAGTCTGGGTGCTGGGGGAACACTCAGCTGCACTTTTTGGGAGAGGGACCTTTCCTGGCTCAGCAGATCCTCTCCACTCACCTGGCAGCTGAGTGAGGAAGAGATTTGGATTCATGGGTGGCTGCCAGACACCTTTCAAAGGGACAACAGGACTGAGAGAGTTTGAACCAACCTGGATCGTGCCCTTCCCCTTTTTGGGAGCTGCCTGTGGAGCAGGTGAGCCTGAGCCACCTGTGCTTTGTAAGAGGGCTATCCCCTCCCAGCTGTCCTCACAGACCTGTCCCCTGGGGTCACTGCCCCAAGGCTGGAGGATTTAGAGCTCTGGGCAGGTCAGCATAGCCGGAGCAATGGCCAAGGCCTCGAGTAAACCCAGAGCAGGGAAATGACACCACTGAGAGCGCCTGGTCCCTCCAGGACGTGTCCTGAATGCAACCTCAGCTCCTGCTGCAGCCCTGTCACAGAGATGGCTTTAATTTGCTGTCTCTTAGCAGGGAAAGTTTATGAGCTGCTCTCTCTCCAGGAGAGCTCCCGGTTGTTTTCTGTGCTGACTCTACGACAGCAGCAAATTCCAGGCCCTGCCTAATGCGGGAGGAGAGCTTTGCTGCTCTGCGTTTGTCCTCAAGAAAAGGCTTTTCTTGCCCCTTGCAGGTTTTCCTGCTTTGAGCTGGGATTGTCTCTCGCTCATTGTTTGTTGGCGCGCGGCGTGACGGGGCCCTGAGCTGCTCTGGGCTTTCATGTCCTGTGTAAAGCAAGGGATGATAATTATAATCAAATAACCGGCTTGCACAGAGCCGACACGCCTGGTTCACAGGGATCAGCGACAGGCAGAGCTCACACAGGGGAGGGGGGCTCCTGGAGCCCTTTGTGGTGCCCATCCCCAGCCCTGCTGGGCACAGGAGCCACTTGCCACCCAGGTAACACCTGGCAGAGCAAGGTGGAGGGAAATGCAAGAGCACAACCAATCAGTCATGAAGGGAACATCTGCGCTGAGCTCCTGGTGCTGGGCTGACGCACAGCCCTGCGAACCCTGGCTCTGAACACAGCTCTGCATGGCTGGGCTCATTCTGGCTGCTTTTATAACCAGTGCTGCCCTGAATCTCCCTCCCCTGGGGGCTCATTCCTCCCCAGTGGGCAGGAAAAGAGGGGCGAATGTGCCTCTGGGTGCCCTGGGGAGACCCCATTTCCCGTATCACATAGCAGCCACCCAGGGCCGCGGCGCTGAGCCGCTTAGGCCGGGCTTGGGAGCTCCCTCGCCAGGAAAGGGGTTAAGGCAAGATAAAGCCCCAGCGTTATAGAGACCATATGGAGGGGAAGAAAACCCTTTATCCTGTAATTGGATTCGCTCTGCGCTCGAGGTGAGGCTGAGTGGAGCTGACAGGCCGTGATGGGCGAGGCGCTGCCAGCCGCCCGTCCAAAGCAGGATGTGTGTGCACAAACTTGTAGATCAATCCATTAGAGTGGATCAAATAGATTTAAACGTGTGGCAGGGAGAAGGAGGACACTGATGTATTTACAATTGGGTTCTCTGGGCCGGCCCTCCCCCAGCAGGGATTACCTGGCCATGGCTGGTGGTTCTGTGGTACCCAGGGCAGGGGCTGGGGGTGGACAGGGAGGTGACCTTGCTTTTGTCCCAAAAAATAGGAGTGTACAGCAGGCTGTGTTTTGTCTTTCATGCACAAAATTTGAGCAGGAGGGACCCCAGCTCCTGTTTTCCATGCAGGTTCTCCATCTCCATCCTGCTCAGACTCTCCCCCCAAGCCACAAAGCAGCTGGGATGTGGGGAGAGCTCCCCCACGCCAATCTCTTCACGCTCTGTCAGCTCCCAGCCTTTTCCTCCCGCTGCTGATCCAGGTAATGTCTCCCCAAGCACTGCAGGATTTCCTGGGAGAGACAGGCGCTCTTTGGGCCCTGTCATTTCCCTGCCAAGGAGCTGAGCAATCCCGGCTCAGCTGCGAGCCTGCTCCGCTTTTTGTGGTGCTGTCAACACTTCTCCCTCGGTGACAACCCGGGGCTGTGGCAGAGTGGGCAGGTGTGCAAGACATTCCCCCGGCCCCGCAGTGAGGAGCAGCTGGCACTGCCAGCAGATCCCTGCAGCTCCATCAGATCCCTGCAGCTCCATCAGATCCTGGCAGCTCCATCAGATCCCTGCAGCTCCATCAGATCCCAGCAGATCCCGGCAGTACCCAGAGGTCTGGCAGATCCTGACAGCTCCATCAGATCCTGGCAGATCCCTGCAATTCCAGCAGGTCCCAGCAGCTCTGGCAGATCCTGGGACCTCCAGGACATTCTGGCAGCTTTGGCAGATCCCAGAAGCTTGGGAAGATTCCATCAGCTCCAGCAGCTCTGGCAGATCCCAGCAGCTCCAGCAGAACTCCCGAGGCTGCACCCAGAGCGAGTTGTGCTCTGCCAAGAGCAACAGCAAAAACGCTGCTCTGATCTCCCAGCCTGGCAAACTGGAACCAGTCTGGGTTTTGGTCTGGGCCTGACAAACTGGAACCAGTCTGGGTTCTGGTCTGGTTTCTGGGCTCTCTGAGGGAGTTCCCAGGGGGAGTTACCAGGGATGTCTGTCCAGCTCTCCTCCTTTGCCTGACATGAGGCAGGTGCTTGACTGCAAAGTCAGAGAGGCAAAGGAAAGGATTTTCCCAAATTCCCGAGGTTTGTGTGTCCATGGCACTCCTCCCCACCCTGCAGTGTCCACTTGAGGCTGGCTGGGCAGCCAGGAAAGGGGGATCAGGCACACAGAAATAATCCAGCTCTTTTATTTTTAATTTGTAAATCTCATTTGAAGTGGAATCCTGTTACTCCCGAGGGCCTTGTTGTGGCTGCTCATGGGTTTCCACAGCGATGCTGTGAACGTGCTGCTTCGTTTTGTCATAACTGGGTCAATTTATTTTTTTTTCTTTCTAATACAAGCCCTTAGTTTTCTCAGTGGAAGCCTGGAGCCTGCTGTGACACGGGCAGCTGGGTTATAATCTTATGGGAATCAGCATGGAGGAAATTTGGGGGTTGCCTGCTTGTTTCCTCTTTCCAGCAGGGCTGTTCCTTGCTGCCTGGCTGGGCTGGCTCCTCGCCCCAACATCCCCAGGAGCAGCCAAACTGGTGTCCCAGCTCCCAGAAGATCCACATCCTGGCAGTGTTTGTTCCTCAGCCAGGTGCAGAGCCCCATTCCTGCCTCCTGCCCCATTCCAGCTCCTCTCGGTGGTGGCTGCGTGTCCTGCACCATGATTACCATGATTCATTCTTGCTGTCCCTGCTTTAAAGCCTTTTAGGGATTTGCTCCAGACCAAATGTGTCCATCCTCTCCCTGTGCCCTTCATCCTGTAATTGGA